TCAGTGATGAGGGCTCCTCAGCATCCGGAGATGAATTGGATGCATCTTTCTTGATTTCTCGTGGATAAACTCGAATTTTCTATCAAAATATGGAGTTTTGTAAGCAGTTAAGCTTCGAATTTTTTAAATAAATTAATATTTAGCATCTTCTACGTGGAATATATGAAGAAAAGACAGGTTTTCAGAAGCTTATAAAGTCGTAAAAAATGTTAAAATGTAGCTAGACAAACGGAATTTTTTTAAGGTTTTAAGAGATTTTTATTAAATTTATAAAATTCCGAGCGTTAATTAATTAAATTCCAAATATTTTAAAGTTAAAACGCCTAAAATTGTAATATTTAAAGCAAGAGAACGTTGAAACGAGAGTCGGAGATGCGAAGAACAGGTGGAGTGATCCCAAAAAAGAAATGCATTTTTTTAATTAAAATTTCTAAATAAAAACACACAAAAAATGAATTTTAACGATTGAAATGTCAAACTTTAAATAAATATATTCTAATTTTCGCGAGGAATTCCCCTGAAAATTATATTCAGTAAGTGAAAATGCCCTCTAAAGTAAGAGAGATGATGAAATTTCAATCAATAACACTGACTTTATCTCGAATTTATATCTAAGTTTACTGGAAAATTTTAGGTTTTTAACAAGAAAATATTAAGATAATAACAAATATTTTGCATCCTTAATTAACTTGGCCCTTTAAAATTTTAGGGAAATTCTCCAAATCATATAAAAGAATTGGATGAAAGGATGCTTCATCTACCACATAATTCTTATCTTTAGACTAAGATTTAACTATAAAATATCACAGAGAAAATTTCTTGTATAAGTTTCTTGATTGATACTTAAGTTAAGACGATCCTTTGGTTGTTATAGCAACGGTTACTATGGAAATTTGTGCAAGTATCCGATCCTGATCATCTTCCGGATGACGTATCCTAACTTTTATCATCGAGAATTGTTCTATAAATATTATGTTTAACGTTAAATTACGATTGTATTCTATAAAATTGTTTTATTTCTACAAATTTCCTTTAGATTTATAAATAAATTTTACATTTAAACATTTATAAAAATGCAGAAAGCAGAAGATAAACACAGTTGTATCTCTGTGATGTTCTGCATAGATCAAGGATGATGAAGTTTTAAGTGTTCTTAGGATGATGAATTGATGATTTTTTGAATATTTTCTCCTTTATTCATAATTAAAATCTTCAAAGATAAAGTTTTTCTACTTTAAAACGTGTAGATTTACGAGAAACTGTCACTCCTCTCAGTTAGATGAGGATAATATGCCGTATTCTCATGATGTAGATTTCATATTCTTCTTCTTAAGATGATAAATTGACAATTTCCTAAATCATTGCTCTCTTATTCCTATTTAAAAACCACTTAATATATTTAAATTGAGGGAAATTTAGTTAAACTGTGCCCCTCTCTCATTCCGGATGCTAGAAGATGTAGATGGAAGGATTCTATCATTTTATCCTCATTAGTTTATATTATTAATTCCTCTAATGATTCTGGAGAGTGTACTGATGTTAATTTTTTAATTTAGACTCTAATTAACTCTCCAGTCAATAATTTAACAAGCTAACAATGAAAGAAATCAAGGATGAAGATGGAAGAAGCTACACTGGGTATTAATCCTTACTGTTTTTTCCTACTTTCTACAGTTCTAGGAGGTGTTAAAGGTCAATTTTCGGTTGTAATTCTTGTAAATTTTTCAATATTATATTATTAATTCCGTAGAAAACTTCCTGTTCTCCTTTCTAATGCCATTAAAGTGGAGAAAATCGTTAAAGATTCATTTTTCTCCAGAGAGCAAAATGGACATTTAATTGCTACTGCAATCGAATGTTATGTAGTCCATCAAGGAATATCTCGACGGAAATCCAATTCTTTTTCAATAATGAGAGTAAATTTCAACATTTACCACCCTTCTCTACGTTATTAGTGGTCCTATTCGTGATATCCTCTCTGGGATATACAATTTTTAACATTAATCCATAGATCCCTCCAAACGAGGTCTGCATCACTCTCAAGAATCGAATTTCTTCATTACTCTGAAATCGGATATATCCCGAGAATTCTGAGAGATATATCCCCCATCCCGAAGATTATATCCCTAGTTTCAAGGCTGTATATCTCTTATAACGTATGCAACTCTCTAGGAAGTGATCCTGAGATATCCTTATAGAATTATCCTAGAATATATTCCAGAGAAAATGGTAGAAGTATTAAAAGAATTCTAAAGGATATTCCTGGATATCCTGCGATCATATTGAGTAGGAAAACTTTAGGATATTCTCAGAATATTCTGCATTATATTTCCCTAGGAAAGCCAGGAGATATTCTGAGATATTTTTTCAGGAATATTGAGAGTAACCTGAGATCCATTGCAAAGAGAATAACAACAATTCTAAAGGATACATCATAGGAATTTCTTGAAAATATGTCAAGTAAAATCAACATATCTTTTGCAGAGTATCCTGGAAATATCTTGAGATATATTTTAAGAGAATAGTCAAAGCCTTAAAGGATCATAAAGGATATATTTTAGGAATTTTCAGTATATTGTGGGAAAATTTCCAGCAGAATATTCAGGGAATACAGAATTTTTACATTGTATTCCATAAACGATCCCCATCTTCAAGCGTCATTCCAGAAGATTTCTAGTCATTCGGGTAGGATCACGAGCGTACGTTTAGGGATTTTCCCGTGAAAATAAGGGATATCATCCCTAGAATAGGGAGAAAATTGTAAACATCTTAAGATACACGCCTTAGAAAGTAAAATATTTCATAATTTATCATGTCACACGTAAAATGATGATGATCATTGATGTGGATTTTTCCACGTACGAAACGAAAAGCTTGGATTAATAAATGTAAAATTTTTTTTCTAATTTTTGTAATTTTACAGCTTAAAATTTGCCATTTTTTGCATTTTCTATTCGGAATTTTCCTTTTTTGACTCGAATTTAACGAGTTATTAAGCGGAGGATCAAAGAAATAAAATTGCCACCATCCAATTACTCGATAATTGTCATCGTTAGGAAGATGTTTTCTTAGGGAGAAAAATTGATTTTTTTTTCGATTCAAGCTTATCTCGCGGCTTCTTTAATATAATTTGTCACGTTTAAAATTAGTTATTTTGCCAATTTAACACAACTTTTTTAACTTAATAAAGTATCTAAAGCATCCAAACTGTCGCATCATCCGGAAAGATTTTCTCCTCTTCCTCTTCTTTCATCGATTTTTTTGCGGTTTTTATATTAATTTATGTGTTTTTATATAGTTTTTTTTTAAAGAAAATAAGCGTCATAAAACACAAAAGCATTTAAATCTTAGCTTGCTCCACGTTATCACTTTCGCAGCATCCTCATCTTTACCTGTTAAGTTAAGCAGGAGAATATCGTGTTTTACGTAATTTATATAGATAAAATGTATTTTTTAATTTATTTTAAGCATAATTTTAATTATTTTAACTAATATTTTTAATTTTTAAAATGATAAAGAAGATTAAATTCCATTTAAATTGCATTACATCTATCAATACATCTAGATATATTTCTTGCTTCCTCTTAAATTATCTCATTTTTCCCTTCGATTTCTTCATTTATAATAAATATTTTGAGTATTTTTATATCAATTTTATATAAATTTTTAGAAAATAAAAATTATAAGTTACCTAAATTATAATTTGCTCCACGTAATCGCTTTAGCAGCATCCTCGTCCTCTAGATAAATCGAGTGGGAGAATCTCATTTTAATCTTAATTTATATTAATGAAATATATATTTTAACGTTATTTTAAGCATGATTTTACTTATTTTTAACTGAATTTTTCATTTTTCAGGATAAAAATTGATTTAAATTACGTTAATCCTGAAGGTCGAAGATAAATTAAACCGGTTACGGTTAGTCTCACTTTTGAGAATTCGAAAATAAGAGAAGTTTAATTAATTAAAGGGAAGGAGAAAAAGTTGTTTCCATCCAAAATAACAAATTTTGAAAGGTTTTCGGGGGGGTTACTTCTTTTTCTTTGCTGATGTTTGCAGTCTTGTAATGAGAAACGTCGATCTCTAATTAGCTGAGGCATCGACTGTCATCTTTTTCTTTTTCCTCGTCCCTGCCTCTAACTATCCTTTATCTTCTGAGGAAGTGGTTCCATCTAGCGAGCTGCAGCAACGAATTTCATCACTTCTCGCGTGTTGGGCAGACATTTAGCTTGGTTAAATGTCAAAAAAATCAACTTCGATTTAACGTAATAACGTGTGAAGTTTGTCTCGTGTAATTCGTTTGGAGTATTATTTATTCCAATTTTCGTCACTTTTATCATCTTTAGTGGGAGATTCTACACCATCACTTGACATTATTTAACGTTTGAGTAGATCTAAATCTACTTTATGTTGATTCTTTCACATAGATCCTTATATTGATCCATCCGGAATGGATCTACATCCGCAGATCCACACTAGAGTTGATCCAGCACATCATACAGTGGATGATGTACAGTTTCTCTTCCTCTACACACCGTTATCGATTCATTAAAACGGATTCGACACTACTTTAGGGTGCGTTACGGCACTCGAAACCCGACTCTACACGTTAATTAAGTATCAACGCCTACTCTACAGCTACTCCCTCCGGCCGCACACCCCTCTACCACGTGACTATTCGACATATCTGCCCTTTCCCTTTCAGGTTTCTCACCAGTCAACTTATCGATCCGGATAGAAAACGACTCCAGGTTATCGGATCCCCCTCCTGCCCCTCTTCTCTTCCTTCTCTCCTCCGCACACACAAGAACATACGGAAAGATACTGGCGACCACACTAACACGTCACTAATTGCTGCAGACGTTCATCGTCTCTTCGTGAGAGAGACTTTCGAGGGGGGGAGAGAGGGAGTTAAAAGAATGGGAAATTAAGCAAATTGAGTGGGGCTCAAAGGCGAAATTTTACTGAAATCTTGTGTATTTTTCTTGTTTCTTTCAGTTAGTAACAGGCTACTTGGTGATATGCTCTGCCTATCGGGTGCTGCGCTGTACGGAATATCAAACGTGGCCGAGGAATTCGTAGTCAAAACTTATAACCAGGTGGAATTTCTCGGGATGTTGGGACTATTCGGAAGTGTCGTCAATGGAATTCAATTGTAAGTATACCGTTTTTCACCCCCTTATTTGCTCGAATTCTTTATATATTTCACCAGTTTTTAACTCCCCTCTTATCCGTTTTAATTAATTTTCATCCCTCTTATCCACTTTTATTCCATTTCCTTCCCCTTTATCGTTTATTGTTTTATCTGTACACGTAATCTATTTTTCATCCTTCTCTTCTTGGAGTCATTTTCATTCATTTTCCTCTCGTTTGTCCACTCGAATCAAATTTTATCCATTTTCAATCGTCTTCTTCACTCACCTGAATCAACTTCCGCCCATTTTCGTCTCCCTCGTCTACATGGACTATTATTCATCAATGGTTAATTCACTTGAATATCGATTTTTCTTCCGTTTTTCGTCTTCCTTATCCACTTGAATTCGTCTTCACTATCTAATCATGCACTAAATTTCACCCTCTTATCCACTCGTATATGAAACTTTACCCCGTTAACCACTTTTAAACATGTAAATCTATAGAGAATCCTTCTAAATTTTCACTTATCTTCATCTTTTTTATCGTTCTAACGAATGTGACGCTATAAACGAGTAATAGGCCATTTTCTTTTGTTTATAACCAGTAATTGTTAAGATACTAAAATGAAGGATGCGTTAAGAAGCGCTTTAGAATTCCACAATCAAAGAAAAGCTTACAAGGAATTCCGGAAATATATTCCGGAAAGTGAAAAATTTCTTTGTCTTCTCGGAATTTTCTCTGATTCTCCCGATTTTCCGTTTGCTTCGTTTTAATACCGCATCCTCCTCTTTCTCCTCCCGATCTTTCTCGTCTCTCCTATGCTATATTTTTTGTAATTTAAACAAGATATTGCGATCAGACAAACGGTGTGACTAGTCTGATTATTTCTTACACGCTCCTTTCCATTTTAACTACACGAGCAGCTAGGAATGGCCAGGTTCTCTCCTGTTCTTATCCATCCCTATTTATAGGGATAAGGATGAAGATTCGGTAGATCCTATCACATTGATCCTTATCTATTTCTACAGATATAATAAAAGGGATCCTTAGTTATTCCTATAGATATTAATAGGATGATAAGAGAGAATCTCTTCACATCTTATCCTTTCTTATAGATAAGATAAGGATGGTTAATGTCGTAAGGATAGTATTGATTCTAATTCTATTCTTTCTTTGTCCTCCTCTAATAATAAGGATAACAAAGATACAATACAAACGATTCTATCATTTTCTGAAGGATATGCTCCTCTAGAGAAAGCAGGAAAGAAGAGATAACAAGGATCCTGTCATTTTCTGAAGTATATGATCCTCTAGAAAAGATAGGAACGAAGTGATAACAGGGATTTTATCCTTTTCTGAAAGATATGCCCCTCTAGAGAAGAATCCTCCTCTAGGAACGAGAAGGATTTTACACTACTCTTACTCGTTCCTATGAATAGAATAAGAAAACTAGATGATAAATTTGTTCTATTTAATCAACTACATTCTTCTAGTTAGGAGAGAAACTATTAAGGATTAGTTATATCCTATCCTTATACATCGTATTAAATAAAATGATAACGACAGATAAAGATGCAAATGATTCTATCTTTGCCCATCTTATCCTAAGTCTACCCTATTCAGACAACGTCTTTGAACTTCCAAACAGACAGACAGACAGACACATTTAAAATTGGCAGATAAAAACTACAGAATCTCATATCAAAGCATCATTAATAACGATCAAACAACGTTGTGAAACACGATTTTAACTCAAGAATTTTCTACTGAGAATCAAAAAAATCATTTTAAATTCTGTTTTTTTTTGGATTGAAATTTGCGTTATTTCATGAAATTTTGCGAACTTTTCCCACTTAAATGAAATAACTCGCATTGTTTCTTCTTTACCTCTACCTTCGATTTTATTATTCTAGTCCAAAAAAACCACTTTAAACCATCAAAACGTCTTTGTTTGAAGCAGATAATATAATTTTTTTTATCTAGAAATACATATACAAACAGCATTATCCTACTCTTTCTTCATCAAACAAAGACTTAGCTCTACTAAATTATTCCAAAAAGCAAATCGTATAGGATTAAACGTAGGCAACCTTCTAAAAATCGATATATAGAACAGATTTCTATGAAAAAATAAGGCTTTTTAGGTATAGAAATGTCTATAGACGCTCTATTTTTCAAAATATATCACTTTTATAGACGTTACTTATCCTAAATTTCTAAAAAACCGCTTGCAAAATTACCATTTTGGAAGCTTCCAGTGATCTGGATGGTGATTTTTTTTAGATTTATCGCATCCAGATTTATATTATCCGTGTCTAGTGTTGATTATTTTATAGAAGGAACCGTTAGAAAATTTAATAGATTATATCTTTGGATGCTGAATAAGTTCTCCAGCATCTGATGAAGGATGCTCTCCAGCATCTCTCGATCTTCACTTGGATGAGAGATGCTCTTGATTTTTTTTTTACAGTTATCACCTCTACATCTTCAAGATCGATAAGTTCTCCTTCTTCTTCTATGCCACATATGACGATTCCTGACCTTATATATAAATTAATTTTCTCATGAATTCGATTGTGAATTCGATTTTCTTCTACGTGATCCGCATCACTTAGGAGATGAACATCCTTTTAATATGTCATACATTCGATGCGATTTTTATTACTTTTATTTGTCTTACACCCTTAAGTAAGTATAAAATAGATTAATTATGGATTCTAAATGCTTATTTTCACAAAATAATTTGCCAAGTTTCACATGTTATCGTACAAAATGCGTTTATTGTTTGATTTGTTACGTGGAGAAAGATGGGATTCTCTCTCTTTCTTTAGATGAAACGGTGCAGAAATTGAGGAAGTAAAGCAAAAAAATCATAATTTTAGTGTATTAAATTGTACGTATTTTTATAATTCTATAAAGAAAATTCGCTAAAGATGCTCTTCTGGAGCATCTCCTGAGAACAAGTGATGCTGGAGAGCATCAGCATCCTTTCTCCGAACGAGGATAAGGAGATGCTAGAAAACAGTATTTATCCAATTTAATGATTAAAAGATGCTGAAGAGCATCTTTTACTCATTAAATTGTTTTCATATGAGCTAATCATTAAATTGTTTTCTATACAAATATGCATAGCAAATTTGAATGAAAGAATTTAAATGAAAGTGGATACAAAAATCAATTTTAAAAAACTAGAAGAAAAGATAGAAATTGGTAACCAAACTGTCTAAAATTCAGTATTTTCGAACTATTTTAGCTGTAAAAATGCATTGTTTCTTTCACTAGTGATGTCAATCAATCGTTCTTCGTAACCAATTCTCTCGAAGCTGTCAGATGTTTCTCTGAACTGTACAAGAAATATAGCGAAAACCACTTCTATCCATTTACTCTGTAGAAGAAGTCGTGTCTTTTTTTGAGTGTTTGTGGCCTCTAAACTTCTCCATATAACTGATTTTTCTGTCTAAAAAATATCGATGTCAATGCTGAGACGTGGCTACTTTTAGAAGTCAAGATGCTTGAGTTTTGAGGAAAATTGGGGGAAAATTAACTAAAAATTGCCTTTGTTTCATTTAAATTTAGCCCCGTGAAGTTAATTTACAAACTTTTTGTGGTTCCTCTTATCTTATTTTGGCTACAATTAAGCAAAATGAGAGTAGACATCCACCACTTTATCTGCAATCATTTTTGTGAATTTTTGCATATTTTCAGCACTATTTTTTTGATTTTTCTTAAATTCCTTAACCTTACAGTTAAAACAAATTAAAATATAATAAAATTATAAATTTTATCCCGAAATTTTTAAACATTTTTCCAATTTTTCTTGCCATATTCAACTTTAATCAAATTTATATATAATTAAATTGTACTCAAAACTTAGTAGTAAAAATTATATAAATATTTGGATCATTTATGACTCTAAATGTAAAGAAATAGTACCGAAAAATGCTCACTAGGAGTAGAAATGGCGCTCTCTGTAAGTCAAGTAGCTGTATGATTAAGATTCTGATCTCCAGCATCCGAAGGGATGCTGGAGATCAGAATCTAGAATAATCTGAATTTTTTAAAAATATATTTTCTTAATTTAGAAAAAAATGCATTTTATACTTAAATTTATATTAAAAAGTGGATTTTTATTTCAAAAATCGTAAATTTTAATACTAATTTTTTTAGTTTTTCTCTCATAGTTTACTCTCGAGAGCGCTTAAAAATAGAGTATTTAAAGCAAAAAATTGAAGAAATTACAAAAGTTCGACCTTAAAAAATTGCATAAACTTGAATTGTTGATAAAAAATTAAATTTTTTAGTTTAAATTTTAATTAATATTTTACAATTGGTCAATTAAAGACTAAAGTTAGAGTTAGAAGCAATGAGAACAAGGCATGAAAACTTGAAGAATTTTCGGTTTGTTGGGTCATTTTTTTATTAAAAAAATTTTTTTTTGTAAAGAAAACTTTAACATTTTGTGTTAAATTTATTAATTTTTACATTTTATAAGTAAAATATTATTATTAAGAATGATATTAATAGGAAAATTGCTGTGGGTTATACTCCGATACGCTTTAAAATTATGTAAAAATAATTGATTTTTTAGCTATTTTAGTCAAAAAAATTATAAATTTCGTATTAAAAATTAAATTTATTTTAAAATAATTTTAATATTTACACAGTTTTTAATTAAAACTGTAGAAATTATAACATATGTACGTGTCGTAGGCAGAGGAATGTAACAAACCATAGAAAAATAATTGATTTTTTTTACTTTTTAGTAAAAGAAATTCGCAAATTTTGTACAGAAAGATTGAAATTTCCTTATAAAATTTTAATATTTCAACAATTTTCAATTATAAAATTAAAATTTAACTTAAAATCAACACGTAAATGTGACTAGTGATCAATGGTTTAAGACTTAGAAAAATCTCCAAAAAAAATGTAATTTTTAAGGAAAAAGTAAAAATTAAAATTAAATTTTAAAATTATGAAACCAGGAAATTACAATTTATATATACATTTTAATTATAATTAATTATATAAGTTGATATGGTCAATTAATTAGGATTGTCTCATTCAAAACGAATTTTTAAGCAATTAATAATTAGAAAAGTTGTATTAATTAATAAATATAAAATAAAAGAATTAATATGAAGTAATTAATGAATTTCTCATCGATTTTTATTCATTTTTTTTTCTAATTAAAATCAAACGAGGACTTCTAATCCACTTCACTGTAATTAACAGAAGATTACTTTGAATATTTGCTACTTTATCGATTGATACGTGGAAAAATATAAGGTTTCCCTGATCTTATGAGGCCTCCTAGTAATCATTAGGTATTTATGCATGCGACTACGTTAAAAATTTGCATAGATTTGGGTGATAAATTTGGTCAGAAGATTAGGAAAAGTACACTGTAAACACAGACTTTTCCAAGCTAAACTGTAATATATAAGAGGCCCTTACCCTCTACGAAGTAATGATACGTGTTAAAATATGAGGCTCTAAGCTGCAGCTTGTTTAATTTACGTTCAAATCGTCCCTGGGGCCTTTTCACAGTTATATGGGCGATTTTATGGGCATCTTTGATGATGGAATAGAGAAAACTGGAGCAGTTGAAGATGAGGAAGAGACAGGGATAGACTTGGACTTGATATATAACAGGCCCTTCCTCTCCGCCAAATAATGATACACGTTAAAACGTGAGGTCCTTAGCTATGGACTCATAACGTGAGGTCTTTGCTTACGTGAATACCAGAAGTGGAGAAAGATTCAAGTTTTCTCATAGTTAAGTTCTGCGCTGCTCTTGAATCACACCGATATGATAGGGTCCCAGTTATGGCATCAGATTTAAATTTCGATATTCTTACTACAGTTTATGACAGATTGTTTTGGGGCCTCCATTAACAGGGGGCCCCAAAACAATCTGTCATAAACTGTAGTAAGAAATTGCCCTTTATGTCAATAGAATAAGTGGTTTTATCCGTTCCTCCACATTGGGTCGCAGGAGAGAAGCTGTTAGGGTACATAATACCAAGAAACCATTCAAAAGCACTGGAGATCTTTCAATTTATTTATCATTTTAAAGTAAATTTATATTATTCTTCATTAAAGAAATATTCTTCGCACATTCCCTCAATAAAAAATGAAAAAAAAAATGAAAAAAAAAAAGGAAAAGCCATAACAATCGAAATGTCCATAATAAATTCTCCTTGGCATTTTCTTCAAGTCGGTGTGCAATTTATAGATACGCAGTTACTTTCCCTCATAAACGACATTAAAATTCCAAATCCTTATCACTAGACAATAGTGATTTACTTCATTCTTTTTACCTTATAACAATTCAAAATGTTACATAAATCATTGTGGACTGTACAGAATTCCAGGCGTATCATTAACGCGATATTTCCTCTTCTGACACTCCAGATCTTCAATTATATTTATATACACGTGAAAAAAATCCAATTGGACAATTGTACAAATCCAAAAGAATTCCTCCTCCTCCTTCTCCTTTTCCTCCTCTTCTTCTTCTTCTTCCTCTTCTTTGCATTGTTCTTTTTTTTAAAAGAAAAAGTAATTTAATGACTTCGCATCTTTGGTAAGATTCCTTTCTTTCTAGTGTTGTTTTTTTTCCCTCTGTTAAACATAAAATTCCTTCATAAAAATCGCACCGGTTGTTAAGGTATCGCAAAATTTATCTTTGGAATTCCTCCCTTTCATTCGATGTTTGAAATTCTCTGCTATTCACTGGTCAAAGAATGCCACAAACGAATGTTTTGTTAACAGTAGATCGCCACCGAATTTTGTTCTATTCACTTGTAATGCAGCGGTGCATCGCTCTCAAATGAAATCCTTTTTTACGTGTAATTTTTTAGTGTTTAGATAATAAAAAAAATGGGAGAAATATATTTTTTTATGGTAGAAAAATTGTTTCTTTATTATTTTCCTCGCTCCAATTTTACATATCTATCATATTAAATCATTATTCTGATGATTCTTCAAAAAAAAAAAAACCATGGCAAATTGCATGAGCTTCTTCAAGAGTTCTGACTCTTAAAGAAGATTATTTTTCTAAAATTCTAAGCAAAAAAATCATACAAAAAGCATATTTCATTATAAATATATCTTTTTCTTCACTTAAATTTTATATATTTACCATGTTAAGTCACGTTTATATTGGTTCTGTTGATGGTTCTTGAAGAATCTTCTTCCGGGTGAAGGTATGCAATTTGATTTCTATCTAAAATACCAAGCAATACAATACTTCCTCCTGATTATATCTTGGATAAATTGCAATTATTTTAATAAATATTTCAATTATTATACCTTAAAAAGCTCGCATCTTTATAGAAATTGATGTCCTGCATCATCGTCGAGTTCATCAATATTTTCGTTATAATTAAAAATTTGATGGAGAGAATGCAATTAATTAACTGTCAATAAAAGTGATTTTAATAAAATTCAGGGGGGTAAAAAATAAATTTATAGTTAAAAGTGAAATATTTAATTTGTATGACAATTTTACAACTTTTAACTTAATTTGTTTACGTAAATTCAACTTTAAATCGTCTTTAAATGTGCCGCTTGAACATACAGATAGGCTATTATCAATAGGACGCATGTTAAAATTATATTAAGCGCTGTTAAATTAAATCGATTATCTACAAAATAATCCATTTATCCGCTCGCCCCGATTTTAAACCGCAGATTATGGTTAACAAATCGTGCCGTAAACTAATTCCGCAAGGTGGCGCTCGGCAATTGCCATTCCGAAACGCCACCTAGACGAATTAGCCAAGAAGTTTCGGCTATGAAGCGCCACCTTGCGGAAACGGTCGAGTAATTTGCAGTTCTGAAGCGTCAACTTTCAGAGTTAGTAAATATAATTGCATTTCTAAAGCTCCACCTTTCCGAATTAGTGAAGTAATTGCAATCTAAAGCCTTCTCACTTTGTGGTGTTATTATATAATTGCCGTTCTGAAACGCTACCTTGCGGAGATAGTGATTATTTGCAATGCTAGTACGAAATTCATCTCGTAGAGTTAGCACATAATAACAATTCTGAAGCTCCACCTCGTGGAGTAAGTAAATAATTATAGTTCTAAGGCGCCACCTTACGGAATTAGTAAATAGTTATAATTCTAAAGATCCACCCTGTGGCGTAAGTAAGCAGTTATAGTTCTAAAGCGCCACCTATCGGAGTAAGTAAATATTTTTGTTCTAAAGCGCCACCTTGCGTATTTTGTTTGCAATCGAAGAATAAAAAGCGCCATCTAGTGGAGATATTTTAAATTTTTTTTCTAAATCTGCAGTTTCAATAATTAACGACTTATATTACTGGTTATTAGATCTACTAATGAGTTTTTTTACGTTTGAGGTGTAATTATGTGTATAAACGTAGTAAAACTTAAAGAAGTTACAAAAAGGAAGAAAAATGCCATGCAACAAAGTAAACAAAAATAATTCATCATTAATCCATATTAATTAATGCCGGACTTTGAATTTGCTGCTAGAGTTAACTGATTATCGATTACATATTTTTAATTATCATTTAACAATTTAAATGCTTGCCTGAATGATCGATTGCTGTGTTGCAACTTCAGGACGTTCGCATTGAATTTCCGGTTTGGCTGCGTTCTTACTAGCGAAACCGGAAATTGAATGGGAACTTTCTTTGCCCGTAACATTTCTGGATAGAATGACTTGTGAGAAAAAAATATATATGTATTATTATTATAATTAGATTTTCCGCTTTAATGAGGATATCTTGTAACGTTTACGCTTAAATAATATTGCAATTTTACTTCGAATGGTTGAAGTTTCTCCAGATGTGAAAGTAACTTGCGACACATTCTTTCTTGATAATTTTATTTAATTATTGCAAGTAAAAAATTTTATTTAATGAAAATAAATGTTTACATTTTTATTTTGTTTTATATCAGAACACGGGTTTTTCAGTTCTTTAGTATCATACTCTTAGGTCCGAACGAAGCCTATGGATCCCTTCTCACGTTAATGTTTCTTAAATACACAAATTAAAATCCATAGGATTGCATTAAATAAAATTAAGGAACTTCTAGTATCTTATAGGACCTCTTATCCTGGATATATGCGGCAATACGGTTGGGCATGGAAACATACAAGCATCTTACGCTATCCTGCAACAGATTCTTTTCTACAAACGTTGCAACTCCTGCTTTACATACTTCATAAACAGTGTAGCCAAAGATGGCATCCCACAAATCTAGACATCGAGCAAGCCAAGGAAGTGTGGCACTTGATAAACATTCCTGGGAAACCATGCGGTCGAGCATTATCTTGCTGGTAAATGCTCGTTTGTAGCTCTGCCAGACATGAGAACATAACACATTCGTTCGAAAACCTCTAAACAGCAGGTATACTGAAAATCCTGAACAATTCTGAGAGCTTCTGCGAACCTTTTTATAGCATTATCTGGTGAATAATTGGATCACAGCTGTATTAATTTACATGCTTGATACGTGTTTCAATTAAGAGGTTTTAACTTCTTGAAGAAGATTTTGGAGTGTTTACACTTGTATTTAATGCAAGTTCATCAGATCCTTGACAGATTCTTAATGAGTGTAGGCCCACCAGTGGATTAAACCATTGGTTCTCGAGTGATTGCACCTGACCAACATAAGCTATCTGTAACGCTACACACAGGCGATTTATCAGGGGGTGCCTCCGGGAGGAGTTTATGGAAAACTGGCTCCTGTGCAGGTGTTTAGACACAAGAAACCCAGCTCATTAATGAGGCACAAAGGTTTATCCACTCGGTTAATGGTGAACACGTTAATATGTAAGAAAACGCACGTCTTCTCTCTGTATTTAGTGTGTATTTTATAATTTATCTTACGCGTAATTTTTACTTGAAATGTACTTTTCTTATTTAAATTATAATATATATATATATATTACCTCATACAACTTTATTTTTTAACACGCAGGGCAGTATTAGAAAGGCAAGAAGTCGCTGTGATAAATTGGGAAAAGTGGCAAGAAGGTGTGTAAAACGTTTATGAAAACTCCAACTCAGTTAAGTTTTTCTATAGAGCATTATGATTTTTACCTTCATTCATCTTCTTTTACGCTGAAAAATTGGATAGGGCACATAAAATCTGCGCATATTTCCTGTTTTTATATGGGATAAATGTATACGTGTGGGATCAAATGAATTTTTTTTCAGGAAAGATGTGAAAGAATGGTTCTGTGGCTTTATATACGTGAAACGAATGCGATATAAAAGGGGGAAAAGTGTGAAAGATAGAGGTCAAGATCGCTTGGTTTGAACACGTGAGAAAATACTCGAAAGAAGGGGAAAAGAATGATTGAGTGAAGAAAAATTGTAGCAGAGGAAAAGGCGTGTTTCAATAGGAAAGTTTGGAAGTGAGATGTAAAAATTCAATTTCATTTTTCAAAGACATCTCCTCGCCTTTTCCTTTTTTTTTTTCTAGAAATATGTCAGCATTTTTTTCTTTTTCGCGATATAGAAATAGCCGAATATAGGAAAAAACGAGTATATTATGTATTGCTGGTCTTAGATGTGTATTTTTACACACTAATTGCGGGAAATTTAAGAGAATTCTGCAGATTTTTGTGTACAATGAGAAAATTTCAATTGGAAAGAAATTTAGGGATTGTGAATTTTATTACTTAAAAAATACAAGTGTAAAAATACTTTAAAGTGAATTTTAATTGGAAAGTGCGGCATCTTTCCTCAAAGGGAATTTTCTCCAAGTGGCATCTCTCCTGCACTTTCTTCTAGACTCATAGTAATTAACAATAGTTTTGACGATTTTATAACAAAGCCATACATACCCAGAATTTCCCTCAACCTAAAAGAACGTATCTTCACAAAAGAGTGGGGCATCTTTTCCTCGCTTAACGATTATCCTATATAAAAACTCGAAATTTAACAGATTTTTACGAGTTGTAAGATTCAAGTTACGATTCTATCTATTGTTTAAAAGTACATTTAAAAAATTAATTTATAATATAAAAATACTGTTTTATTGTGGTTTGTTGCAGTGTCCTTGTTGTTGGGATTTGCGGGATGTCTCTTCCTGTTATACATAACCATGCCAGTTGTCATGAGGGTAAGCAGTGCCACAGCAGTTAACCTGTCCATACTCTCTGCAGATTTTTATTCACTTATTATTGGCCTTTACATATTTGATTTTAAGGTAAGTTTAACATAAATTTAGCAATTTATTTAATTCAAATGATGATTGGTTTTTAATAATTTCGTGCAACACATGATGCACTCCTTCATAGTTATCAGCAAACATGACTAGTGTTTATGGCATGAATAAACTAAAGCACATAAGCGAAAGAAGCAGAGTTATAAGCATTTACATATGAGCTGGAGAACTATTATAAGCATCAAGATATGAGCTAGAACAGCATTGTTATATATACACATATATGAGCAGAAGCTGATATGAATGCTTCTTTTCACACATAAACAGGAGAAGCAACTTTATATACACTTATATATGAGCAAGAGCTGTTAGAAATGCTTATTTGTACATATAAACATGAGCAACAGACGTTTATATTACAAAAAAAGAGCATAAATGTGCACTAAATCTCTGAACTCATTTTTCTACACCAGAAAATACAATTTAAACGTAATAAGTATGACTTTTATGATATAAAGTACGTTATTATACGAATAAATCCGTTAAAAACAGTCGAAAAATCGAGTTTATTATAGAAATTCCCTTCAAAAAAACAAACTACTATCTCAGGAAGATAAAAGCGACAGACAGGACGTACGTATTTTTTTTTTTTAATAAATTTTTTAAGAGGAATACTTTGTTTGAGGACTGCGAAATGAATAGAAAGATAACGTTGCGTGCACAAATAAATGCTAAAAATTTCATTTATTTTTACGTAAAATAAAAATCGTTTTACATGCAACAAACATGTTCAAAATCAAGTTTAAAAAAATACATTTTACAAATTGATTTACTTAAAAAAAAAAGAGAAAAAATTACAAAAATTGATGACAAGTGGAACGAGTAAACTCCATGAAATTTATGCATTTCGTTCAATTTAGGTATTTATTTTCGATTATAAAAGAATAAATGTGCTTTTCGATTTATAAGTCTTTATTATGCTAACGAAAATCAAATTTGAAATTTTTTACACCAAAAATCTTCCCCTTTTCTTTTGTTACATAATGAATGTAAACAATGAATGTTTACATTTTTGGACTTGGAGCGATCTTCAAACGTCGAGAAATGCAAACAAATTTGGGGAATTTTTCTTTATTTAGGGATGTTAGTGTGTATTTTTGTTCCTTTGTGTTTTCGTGTGTATGCGGGGAATGATTTTGTTCACCCACTTTAAAGCTCGAATACTTCCATGCCTTTTGTCGAAACTTTGAGAAATTATGCAGGAAGGTTTGTGTATTAGGGGCATCGATGCTCTTAAATTTTGGTGGTTAAAAGCCGAGGGGTGGGGAGATAGAGGGGAGTCACTTCTCGTATCGCGAGTGGAGTCGGGCTTAATGAAGATTTTACTCGTTATTAGTATTTACAATATTTTTTATAAAACTAAATATAACTTTTAAAATATTGTAGTAGTAGTATTTGCATGGAATAATTTATATGAGCACAAAATAATGCGTTCAAAATAATTTCTTTGATAATGGCATGAAATAATATGGAGTAGTAACTACATTCCTCTGTATTTTATAGAAATTTTTCGCATTTATACACTGAAAATACTTGTACAACTACATAAAGATTAACACCCTTGATAGTAATTACAAAATTTATGCTACTATAAATAGGTCTCGGTTAATATTGTTATATAATAGCGAATAAATAGTTAAATCAATTCAGTAACTTATTCGGAATAATGCATGAGATTAGCTGTGTAACAATAGACGAGAGCAATGCAGAATCGTAACAATATACGCCACACTTAATCGTAACAATGAGTGAGATCAATAATTGTAAGATAGAGCAGCAACTGCTCATACCTTTAAAACAAAACATTGTTAAAATAAAGAATAGAAAGAGCGTTGTCTCGAAAAAGTGAAAGGAAAAAAAATCACTAATTCTCATTATGGTAATCGTTTGAAATAAACACAATTAATGAGAATAGAGTCTAATATAATAGCTTTAAGAAAAACATAAAATTAAATAATACAAAAATTAAATATGTTTGTCAAAACTATGTTAAATATACATAGAAGTATTGCAAACAATAGTAAAGTATGCTTACACGTTATCTATTAATTATCATGATTTATATATGACCATTAATTTGGCTTATATTGCTGAATTTGCCGAAATCCAATTTTTTAAATGACTTTTATGATTCTAATCATCTGCATGATCAGCAATTAGAATGCTCCCGGTCTTCCCTACGAGGCAGCATCAATTCAACGATTACCAAATTGTATCATGTGATTATTTTCAGTTAAATTTTTGAAATTTTTTTATTTATTTCAGTTAACAATAACGAAGAATTATTACACGGAAGGAATTTAATTCCAAATTAAGTTGTCATTAACTATTATTTTTTCGCGTATTCTTACTGTTAAGTATATTATAAAGTAGATACCACGTAGGAAAGTTCTTAACGTGTTTTTCTCTTCTCCTTCTTTTTTTATTTTACAGTTTCACTGGTTGTACAGTTTATCATTTGTACTCGTTGTTACTGGTGTGATCGTGTATTCAGTCAAACCCACCCCAATTGCCACTGCCCATTACAGAGAGATGTCTGCAGGTGAGATGCAAGGTGATGTTGAATTAGCTAATCAGACACCCTGTAGTACAGTAACCTATAATTCTGTTGGCAGCACAAGAGATGAATCGGGGAGGGAACTAGTGTGGAACAAAGCTGCCACAGTAGTTTCTGTATCGCACTCTGTGAGTGTACACGCTAGAGATCAAGATGAACCTAACCTTGATAGAAGAAATGGATCAGCAGGATTCCTACAAGAGAACGGATGCTGATAGATAAGTGATGAATTCTGTGCCAAAAATAAAATCTGTGCTCAATTTATGGCTCGTTATGGATTCTACATGCTGGAAACGTAGCCATTTTTTGCCCAATGAAGTGTCGAAATTATACACAACAGCTGCCAACATTTTACACCAAAAATTCCCCCACGAATTGTACAAAAATGGAGACACAAAATCGAACAATTTTCATCCCCGGTGCACAATTGTGTTTCTTGAAAACAGTGAGGAAGAAACAAACATAATATGCTGTACATAATTATAATTATATATATATATACATATATATATATATATATGAATATAATGTACACAGACATCATAGGTGATTGCGTGTACACCTAGAAACTATTGTGTGAAGTCTTCACGCATTCATATTGTTTTTTCAAGGTTTAAATGAATTTTTAATTTAAAAATTTTAGGTGATATAAAAAGAAATAGAGGTCCAAACATCTGTTAAACAATTTTTAATCGCTGCACTCTCTAAAATTTTCACTGTTTCTTAACAAAGAAACACATTATGATGTTTAAGGAAAGTCAATTTATATATATATAATATATATATATATAATCTGATATACAGTTCAAGCTGTGGGAGTGTTAAGATAATGTTCAAGGCTAAAAAAAAACACCAAATTCATGAAAAATTGTGTCAAATTTCGTTGAAATCCCCACAAGTTTGTGCCTGTGATGAANAGTGTAAACGTTAAGCTTATTTTCAGATGTGGTTAAAAGTAACTCCTTCTGAAGACAAATCGAGTGTTCTAAATTCTATCAGAGGTGAGAGCGTATAGTAAATTATTTAAAGATATAAAGAACTAGACTATCTTGATAAAACAACTCCTCTAAGCCTCTTAAATCATTTATATAAACAACAAATTACTGAAGATCTTCGAAACTTTTAAAGTGTCATAAACAAGATTTGAAAAAAAATGCTCTTTATGGACGTTTATTATCAGAGAAAAATTGATTTAAATCTATTGTTTTTTTTTTATTGTTTACATTTAATCTTGATTTATGTAACCAAGAATGTAAAGTTGATGCGTTTAGTTTTCTTCCTTCTCTGTTTAAAAGCTTTCTGATGGATCCATGTATTACTTAATTTTACTGTAGTCTAACGTGGCTCTTTGCCAGAGTGTTAAATCTTTATTCTCTAGATAATCGCTAGAAATTGATACTAAAGGAGGATGTCCGAAAGGAAAAAAACGTTTTACTGCATTTCTTCTTCGACTAATACAATTATCTAGTACATTATTTAGTGTTATAACACTGCAGAAACACTTCTTTATGATTATTACAACGTTTATGTTGAGATGTGATATTGTTTGTTGGGTTTTTTTTTTTTTTGTTAATATTTCTGTCATCAATAAATATAAATTATGATTTACGCTTATAAATCTGTACGTTTCTCCTCTTACTTTCAACGTTTTCCATATTTAATAACGTAGAAAATATATAAAATAAAAAGAGAGATCATTGAAAACAACGTTTTCTAATGCTCAAACGTTCGAATTTAATCATTAAAACGTTTTCTATCGTTTTTTTACAATATTTTTATGTTACCTTACATGAAAATATGATACAAAATTAATTACAGGGCAATTAAGTTGAGAATTTTAGCATAACAGTTAATATCTGGATATTGAGATTAAGGAGAAGATGGAGAATGTTGATGCTAATCTCACTTATTAATGGAGTTAAAATTAATCTTCTTCCATAATTTTCTATTAAATCTTAATGTTATTCTTAAGATTTGAGATTATTTTTATATATTTTGGGTATTTTTCTAAAGTGATTCACGTTTATTGAAGTGTATCTTGTTTATCATCCCTTCTCCATCTTACGATGCACTAAGGAGTAATACAGTTATCTTCTAATGGATGAGCTGAATCTGTAGTTAAAAAGTGGGAAAATGTAGAAAATTTCTCTTTAAAATGATATAAAAATAAATAAAATAAATGAGAGTATTTGAATTATCTTAACATTACTCAGCATCAATCTTGATGCTGAGTAATGTTGCTCAGCATCAAGATTGTTGCTCTTGTTGCTCTCAGCATCATCTCAAGATTGTTGCATTAAGTAATGTTGCTCTTGTTGCTCAGCATCAATTTTGATGCTGAGCAACAAGGATTTTAAGATGAACAGAAGAAATAAAGAAGAAACTGCATTTACAGTTGAAAATTCAAATAAAAATTTTTTAATTAGTCTTGGGAATTTTAGAATTTTTTTCATTCGACTATTCAAATTTTTAATAAACCAATCAAAAACTTTTAAAAATGAAACTTACAACTATAGATAAAACTGTCCAAGCGCCATTTTGAAAAATTCTGTTTCAAAATGGTGCCTTTAACCATCTTTAATAAAATTCGCACACTTTAAAAATTAATTAAATTTTAAATTATTTCTACATTCCAAATTAATTTAAAACTTTTAATGATTTTTTTTCAATATTTAAACGAATTTATCTTTCTTTTCTTCATCTCTCTGCCATCCTCCTATGCTAATTTAGTCATTAAAAAATCTTATTTTATGCCGAAATTTCAAAATTTCAAACTCGTATCCGAGTTCTATCTTAGAATTTGTAATAATCTGTACAAAAATAGCGCAAAACTTTTCCGTTTTAAGAGCCAATTTATGTACAAGTCAAGCCGATTTTAAGTCTATCCATTAATCAAGTGGAGCAGCATATTCGGGCACAAAATTTGTGAATTTGATAGCCTGAAGGCATGAAAAATTGAGAAGGATGAGTAATTGAATGATAAGAAAAAACGTTATTGGATAATACGTTCATTAAACAATTACAGAGAAGTAAGCGAAGTGTTATAATTGATGCTTTTTTAACACAGTTTAACACATTATTTTAATGGTGAGGTGTGAGAAAAAAAGGCTCTTGTTCAAGAAATAAAGAAGTTTTCCTCCTCCTAAAAAGTCTCTCTTATAATTACAACAGAAATAATTACTTTATTTATTTAAATGTATATTGTATTTGCTGAGTATAGAAAAGTTACTACACACCTAAAGTATGAAGTGAAGAATGCCAGATTTCACATCTCCTACAGGTAATATCAGATTTCACGCTTGTCAGGCGTGAAGAATGTTAGAATTTCACAAATTTAAAGATGAAGAAGTAATGACGAGTATTACTCTGCACACTTCTTGAGAGTAAGAATGCTAGAATGATACAGCAAAGTTGCAGAAATGGTGTCTCAGAGACACACATTAGTGGAAAAGAATGCTAGATTATAAAATCTCTATTAAAAGTATTAGATTAAATACCCACTAATGATGGAGAGATAATTTGCACATCCTCTAAAAGTGCATTAAAGCAGAAGATGAGGGCATAACGAGGACAGTAGGAGGATTAGCGGTGCAACTACTAAGTTTACTTTCAGATATGATTGTATGGAAGATTTCTGCATCCTCTCCGCTTTTCTTCTTCATTCTTTTTACACCTCTCCTGCGGAAGTATATCTCACAACTTCTGCTTTAATACAATTCTAGAGGATGCTCAAACTAACATTCTCCATAATCTAACACACCCCTTCAATCATTCTAACATCCTTTAATCTCTAGAAGTGTGCAATCTGATACTTCATCCCTGATAGACATGCACTCTCCTACTCTTCATCTTTAAAGTTGAGAAGAATAGGAGTGTAAACGTTAAGCTTATTTTCAGATGTGGTTAAAAGTAACTCCTTCTGAAGACAAATCGAGTGTTCTAAATTCTATCAGAGGTGAGAGCGTATAGTAAATTATTTAAAGATATAAAGAACTAGACTATCTTGATAAAACAACTCCTCTAAGCCTCTTAAATCATTTATATAAACAACAAATTACTGAAGATCTTCGAAACTTTTAAAGTGTCATAAACAAGATTTGAAAAAAAATGCTCTTTATGGACGTTTATTATCAGAGAAAAATTGATTTAAATCTATTGTTTTTTTTTTATTGTTTACATTTAATCTTGATTTATGTAACCAAGAATGTAAAGTTGATGCGTTTAGTTTTCTTCCTTCTCTGTTTAAAAGCTTTCTGATGGATCCATGTATTACTTAATTTTACTGTAGTCTAACGTGGCTCTTTGCCAGAGTGTTAAATCTTTATTCTCTAGATAATCGCTAGAAATTGATACTAAAGGAGGATGTCCGAAAGGAAAAAAACGTTTTACTGCATTTCTTCTTCGACTAATACAATTATCTAGTACATTATTTAGTGTTATAACACTGCAGAAACACTTCTTTATGATTATTACAACGTTTATGTTGAGATGTGATATTGTTTGTTGGGTTTTTTTTTTTTTGTTAATATTTCTGTCATCAATAAATATAAATTATGATTTACGCTTATAAATCTGTACGTTTCTCCTCTTACTTTCAACGTTTTCCATATTTAATAACGTAGAAAATATATAAAATAAAAAGAGAGATCATTGAAAACAACGTTTTCTAATGCTCAAACGTTCGAATTTAATCATTAAAACGTTTTCTATCGTTTTTTTACAATATTTTTACGTTACCTTACATGAAAATATGATACAAAATTAATTACAGGGCAATTAAGTTGAGAANGAATTATTTTAATTGATCGTTCCGTTACTGGGTTCTGTGGATGTTTTTAAAAAAAACTTAAAGTTTTTGGGCTTTTTTTCCGGTAATTTATCACACGAATTCTTATTGATATAAGCTTTATTAATGGAAATTCATTTCGGGTCTGTATGACCCTTCTTCGGTATTTATTTTTTTGTACAGATCATAGCGAAAGAAATAATATTTATAAATTACATCTTTCTTTCTCGGATTCATACTTCACTTTATTGTATCAATTATACGCATTCTGGACACAATATTTACATAAGAAATAATATTTATAAATTATTTCTTTCTTTCTCGGATTCATACTTCACTTTATTGTATCAATTATACGCATTCTGGACACAATATTTACATAAGTACTTGATTAAATTTACTATTTTTTGGGAGAGGAACCATTTTTTTTTATGTTAAAATATATTTTTTCGATTCTCGAGATGTGTAATTGAATTATTTTAAGTGCTTCTAACCAACGTTTCTAGAGTTATCTATGATAAAGAACAAGGATGCTGGAAGGATGAAGAGGAGCAAGATCCAAGATGGAGATTGTTCGAATCTGTTTTCTTGTTAGATTTTTATTACTTTATACTTCTTTTAAAGCGTTATTTAGAGCCTTCTTTAATCCATTTCCATAATAAACGCTATTAAAAATATATATTACCCTTATTAAAGAAGTAATTTCCTGTTTGTTTATCTGATCGGTTTTTTTCTATAATCATATATTTATAGAGATCTTTAAAGGGGATTAAACTCTTAAACACAATCTTTGCTAAACAAATAAACCATTAAAGTGAAAGAATCGTTTAGGATAAATATCGCTGATGCTGATTTTAATAGGATCTTGCTACATCTTTCCATATAAAATGCGGGTTTTTTTCTTTATTATTTTGCATAATTGTGTTACTTCTATTGAAAAATTTACCTTTCTTCACTTCTTTCTACTCTTCTTTATTTTAATTCGTTAATCTGTTTGTCTGTACAAAGCTTATTTATCAAGAAATTCACTCAGAATCTTGGGAATTTGGTTTACAAAATTGATTTTTCAGTACCATACATACTTTTTTTAAGTAAATTAATTGTAATATATAAAAAAAGTAGAATGTTCT